AGACACATCTTAATCTTCAGATTGACATTGCTGCTCTTCAGTATCTTGGAGAGGTCCCTGCCAGCCAACTTCCCCATCATAACACATCTTTTGATGTCTTTCGTTCTTTCTTTTTTATGTTTGGTATAATTTATTGATAATCATCCAGATCTTTTGATTTCTTGACTGCCGTTGCCATGGTGTTGATTATGGATCCAAGCAAGGTGACCTCTTGAAACCCATCAATCTCTCATCTGTCATGATGTTGTCTTTGGGCTCAGTGGTGAGGATTTCTGTTTCCTTAGATGTAATCCGTACTGAAGGCTATACTGTAGCCTTTGACCTTCTGCAGTAGGGGCCTCAGGTTCTCCTAACTTTCGGTAAGCAGAGTTCTATCCTCAGCCTCCTGCAGGTTGTTAATGAGCCATCCTCTAATTTAGATTTCAGATTCTTCTTCAACAAGTCCAGCCTCTCGAATGATTTGCTCTGCATACAGATTGAATATCTGTGAAGAACGGATATAGCCCTGACATAATCCTTTCTTGACTTGAAACCATGCAGTATTCCCTGCTCTATTCAGACAACAGCCTTCTGCTCCTAGGTACATGTTTCATATGGGCATCATTAGGTATTTTGGGATTCCCATGTCAGACATGTGCCCTTTGAATTAGTATTGCAGCTCTTTATGGACTAGGCCACCAGTGCTCGCCATAGATTGAATAATGTTATTAAAGTATGCAACCCTGAAGCATACCTTTCCTGCTTTTCAACCATACAGAATTAACTTGTTCTGTTCAAACTGTTGCATCCTGGTCTGTTTTGGTTCCACATAAAGAGCACAATTAAAGTGTTCAGGAATTTCCATTCTTCTCCAGTGTTAACCATAATTTTTTATGTTCACACAGTCATACGCTTTTGCATAATAAATCATGAGGTAACATCTTTCTGGTAGACTGTGCTTTTAGCTATCATCTCTAACATTAGCAGTGATATCTAATCTATGGCCTCTTCTACATCCACCTTGATTTAATTTATGGCAGTTTTCTGTTGATACATTGTTCTGGGTGGCTTTAGCAAGATTTTACTTCCAAAAGATATTAGTGATGTTGTTCAGTAATTTCTGCATTCTGTTGGATCACCGTTTTATGGAAGGGGCACTTTTCAGTTGCTCGGCCAAATAGCTGTCTTCCAAATTTCTAGCATAGACTCGTGAGCATGTCCAGGGTGCTGAAAAACACTAATTGGTATTCTTTCAATTTCTGGGGCCTTATTTTTTGCCAGTGCCTTATGTGTAGCTTAGATTTCTTTCTTTATTACCATTGGTTCTCCATCATGTGTTACTTTTTGATATGGTCTGACATCAGACAGTTGACTTTGGTACACTGATGTTGTGTTCCTTCTATCTTCTGTCGATGCTCCCTGTATCATTTGGTGTTTTACTGATAGAAGCCTTCAGTATTGCTTCTCAAAGCTTGAACCTTTTCTTTGTATGTGTGTGTGTTCATCTGTGATAAATACGTATTTTTTTTAGCATATGTAAGATGAAACAATATATAATGCAAAAACGTCATTTGAAAATGTGGAATTTTCAAGTGGGCAGTTCAGTGATATCAGTCATGTTAGTAGTGAGCGCTGTGTTGCCATTGACATTATCTATTTCCAGAATTTTCATCACCTTGCACAGAGACCAAGGGCCCATTGAGCACCACCTTCCCCACTCCACCCCCACATGTGTTGGTAAGCACTGATTGGCTTTGTGTTTTTAGGAATGACTGTTGATGACATTGGCTTTCACGCTTGTTCCTGTAAATGATACTGTCAACATGGGCATGCAGATATCCATTAGGGGATAGAGTTGAGAGTGGAAATGGTGGGTCATGTGGTCATTTTGAAGGAGCTCTGCTGTCTCAGTCATGACTGCTCAGCTGCTAACTGAAGGGGGCGCAATGTGAACACACCAGCTGGTCTGGCAGTCTGCTTCCATGGATTGCCCCTAGAGACTGTTCCTGAGTGCTCCTCCTTCTAGTAGACCCCTCTGCATTAGAAGCTGTGAGCCCGAGTCAGCTCAGTAGTAATTTTTCACGGTAGTTTATGTTGAGCTCGTTGAGGCGCTGTCATCTACTGTGACTGCAATATTGTGCATCCCACCTGCAGCACATCCTACAACCCAACAGCAGAAACCCAAAGAACAGGGGTGAGGATAGATACTTCTTCAATGAAAGCCTGTAGATGGCCACTAGATACATGAAAAACTATGCAGAGGCATTAGCCATGAGAGGATTAAAAGAAAAATAACAGTGATACCACTTGCCGGAAAACAGAGGTAACACGAGGAGGTGGTGAAGACATGGGACACTTTCTAGGTCTCTAGTTTTTACAGTTCTTGAAAGAAGGGATGCACTGCTAGAAGTTGCCAGAATGCATTCTTCTCCCACCCATGTCTTGCCCTCTGTGCTCTCCTGTCCAGCTGCTGCTCTGCCTTCCTGCAGAGCCCTGGACTCTGACCAAGGCAACACTGCCTGCTTCCCCTCTGGCCTCATCTGAGTATGTTTGCCTCAGCAGTGAGGTGACTCTTTGCAGCTTAAATCAAAGATTGCTGCAGACCCTGCTGGGATTCCCCTGTGCGTAGGATAAAGCTCAGGTCCTTTTCCGTAGCTGCGCTTGTACCTCTTTGAGGCGCCAGTGGGCAGAGAGATCTCCCAAGTGATTCATCCAGGTGATCACTCCCGGGTGGGGAGAGATTTCTGGTCAGTGAGGTTCCTGCTCAGCCATCACCAGCCAGTCCACAGCAGAGTGCTTGTCACGCTGATGCTGAACAGCCTTCAGTGGAGCTTCGGGACCAGTTAGGAAGAAAGCTGTGCAATCACAGGGCTGGTGTAGGTGCACAAGGCTCAGAGCTGCAGCTCACCGGGCGTGGGGCTGCCCCAGAAGTGTTGGGTTCCAGTTGTGCATGGGGGTGGGGGTGGTGCCAGGACAGGGATGATTCTCTCACAGTTGATAGCCACAGTGCACTAACATGCTGTCCATCGGATAGACTTTCACCTAAAAGTTTCATTCCAATTTTTTAAAACACACACAGTTTCCTCCTAATATTTTATCCTATAAACTCTCATACGCAATAGTTGAACAGATGCAGTAGACACTGTACAGCTGACCCACATTCGGTGGTCAGCCTGCTGGAATCCTTTATCTGCACCAGATCTTCCCTCTTCTGCTGCCCTCTTGGGGTTTGGTGCAGTTGAAAGCAACGTCTCTAAATCTGTGCACTCCTCCCACTGTAGGGATTAATAGTTGCTTACAGTTCTTTTCTCCCCCCTCTGGAAGTAAAACTTACTTAAAAAATTAAAGTGGGTGACTTCCCTCGAAGGCACACATTTCTGTGATCCACTCCCCACCGAGACAAAGAACACACCGTTACCCCAGAATGCCCTGCTAGTTAGTCCCAAGAGGCAACTACTGTTGTGATCTCTTCCACCACATTGAAATCTTGACTGTGTTAGAAGTGCATCAAGATGCAGTCCCAGTCTGCTCTGTGCATGCTCCCTAGCTGTCTGTGTGTTTGTTATATTCTAGTGTTCACTGTCAGACAGCTAAACCATCTGGGCGATGTCCATGGTGAATTAGGACAATGGAGACGGCAGAGCGTCTCCCCATGGATGTGTGCAGTGATGGCACCTGGGCTGTGGGATGGGACTAGGGTTAGCTTTGTAAAGAGGTGTCCTTAGAAAAAGACGTGGTGGGAAGGGTGCAAAGTCAGTAAAGGGGAGGAACACCCTCAGGAAGAGGGACTGCCATGGTGACTGCAGCAGTGGGCCTGAGGATGGAGAAGAGGGTGAGGATGGTGCCGCACCCAGCAGACTTGACATCAGTCACATGTGGTGCAGTCACTGCTGACTCACATCAACTAACCCCACAGTGGTTCACCCCAGCCCCTGCCTGTGTAATGGAACAGCAGCTGTGGGCGTAACCCTCTGGGTTCCATGTTGGTCATTTCTGCCCTTGTGCTCTTGAGCAGTGTAGCAAAAGGTTTATCAATTTTGTAGTTTACAAAGAATGAACTCATGGTCTGCTAATGCTTTCAGTGGTTTGCCTTTCTCTGGGTCTTCTCTGCTCATTCCTTTAGTGCTGTCTTCCTCTTGTTTGCTGGGGTCTGCCCCACACCTCTCCCAACAGTCCCGCTCCATAGTCTGTCCCCATCCATCCCACAGCTCCCCTCCCTGGTCCGTTTTTCCCTCCATCCCTACAGCCCCCTCCCTGGCATACGCCCCTCCTTTGTTCTTTACCCCACAGTCTACCCTGGGTTTTGGTCTCACAGACCCATGCTGCATTGTCAGGGAAGCTGAGGGATGAAGCCTGTGTCCTGTCTGGTCTTGGTGCTGAGGATGGAAACCTGCAGCTCATAGAGGAGTAGTACCTGGTACCTTCTTCCTGCTTGGTGCTGAGCCCTCAGGATTTTCCTGGAAGTGTGGTTTGGGATGTGCAAGCCAGCACAGTAGCTCTGTGATGTCACCTGCAGGCCACAGCAGAACCTTGAGGTATCGACTTGAACGTCACTGACATGCAGTTAGCTCAGGGCTGGCTGAGCCCTGACCAGTGCAGCCCGTCCTCTTGGTCTCATCTACGCATCTGCAGGGCCAGCACTATGTGGTGTCCGCAGGATTACCCCTCCCCAGGGTACCTGTGTCCCAGAAAGGGGGGGGGGTCTGGATGAGTCAGACCCCTGCCCCATATTCCACCCTCCACTTCTGACACTAGATGTGCCCAGTGCTGCCTTCTGGAAGTAGGCATTTTCCTCCTGATAGAGACCCATGTCCTGGGCAGGGGTACACAGAAGTCTTCCTTGGTGTAGGGGCTAAAGGGGTTGTGGTAGCTCGATGCTGCTGCCTCACTCTGTCACGACTAGATGCTAGATGTGGACTTAGCAAACCCAAAGGCTTTGCTCACTGGTGCACCAGTGCTGCTGTTATCGAGGGTCCGAGTGGCCTGTGCATCCACCTGGTGATCCTTGACTCCTGCTCCAGACATGCTGCTGGACCTCAGTGACCTGCTGCAGGTATGTCCGTCCTCTGTCAGCGCCTAGGACACATGCCCAAGTACTGTGGTAGGGGGACACACACACACACATCTGCAGAAAGGGAGGGACAAACACTTGCTGGGTCTCACACACACTCCCCCCTACGAGGGCAGGGGAACACACATCCATGGGGTATGGGAATGACATATCCACTGGTGGGGGGACACATCCATGGAGGGGACACACACATCCACTGTGGACACACACGTCTATGAGAGGGGGGACAAACACCTACCACGGACATACACACACACACATCGTATAGGGGGAACGATTCCACCACAGGAGGGGAACACATGCACATCCATGGAGGTCAGGCATGCCACACATTGGGGTGAGGTGAGGGCACACACACCCACATCAGGTGGGTAGGGAAGGACAACATATGTGTCCACCTATAGTGGTAGGGGGACACACTTCCACACCGCAGAGCTTGAGCACAGAGCTGAAGAGCTGTCCACTGGAGGCCTGGGTACTGGTCCTGGTGAAACTTCTCCCTTGAGCTAACAGCTCAGTGGATTGCTCAGGGGAGACCTTGCTAGGGGCCCAGGCAACACACCTAGGAGGCAGGACACGGGGGGGGAGAATGAGCCCAGTGCAGCTGAGCAGCACCTGTACTATATGAAGGGAGCACCTGAGAATGTTTCCTTGTCTCCTTCCCAGGTGAACGTGTATGTGCTGGGGAAGACCTTCCTCCTCCTGGCCAGAGAGCTCTGCATCAATGCACCGGCCATAGGTAGGTGTTGGTGCTGGGGGAAGAGCCCTCAAACAAGGACTTTCCAAAGTCTTATAGCCAGTGCAACAGTGCCGTCTCAGAGCCGAAGTGGACACCGAGGGCAGATGGGCATAAGCCATGGCAGTGAAGCGTGGGTGGTGGAGGGCGAGGGGACACCCCTCATCTTTGAGACGGGTAGCGCTTTCCTGGGAAGAGGATTGGTGCTCACAGCTGCTGGTCCCCTATGCATAATGGCAGGGGGGCTTGCCCATGAGGGAAGCTCCGGCACAGGGACACTACTAGGGCTCTCTGCCCTGAAAAATGTCTCTACCTTGGTCATGGCCATGGGCCATGGAGGCTCAGGAAGGAGCTGGTGGCATTGCTGCAGTGCTAAAAGCAGAGAGCCTACCTGCTTCTCCCAGGGCATTTCCAGCCCATCTGCTGGCAGGGAGCAGACACCCCAGGAGGCAGGACACAGGGCAGACACAGGTGGCTTCTGGGATCTACTGGGTTGAACCATTTAGTATGTCATCTAGTAGTTCAGGGTTTTGTCTAGTAATGGCACAAGATCCTTCCCCCCAGGGTAAGGCTCCCGAGGTCATTTGTCTAGAGGGGGCTGCAGTTTTATTAGAACTTTCGCATGAAACCCACTTAGAGGAATGGCTTGAAGGGACTCCTTTGTTCTGCAGGGGAGGGCCAAGCCAGGCAGAGAAGTGGCAGTAGGCGTGATGGCTGATGCCTTGGAGCAGACAGGTTATGGTCCTGGGAGGGGACCAGGACTGCTCTGCACCCAGAGGCCGCCCTCCACCGGAGACGTGCCCACAGAAAGTCAGCCATGCGGGCTCCCGCTGTGTGGACAAACTTTCTGTTGCACAGCTGTAACTACAACTGTGTACAGATGGTCGCAAAGTCAGTCAGGTCTCAAGGTCTTCGTGACTGCCCAGCTGAGGGTGAGGGAAATGCATCAGGTGCCAAACACCCCACACCACCACACGTGAGAAAGGGTGTGCTGCCCTTTTGGCCTCAGGCATAGAAGATGAGCTCGGGGATCTGGCCGCCTTGGACCCCTGTCCCATTGGTGCTGTCAGAAGAGCACTGGAACTGAAAGGTCACCTTCCCACACTGCACCTCTGTCATCCCCTCCTGCCCAAAGTAGCTGAGCTCACTGCCGTCCAGGACCGCGCTCACCGTGTAGAAGGTGTCCTGCTCCACCTGGACTGGGTGCTCAAACCACACGGGGAAGGTGTTGCTAGAGCCGTCAGAGAGGAACTTGGTCAGGTTCTGGGCCAGGACCAGCCCTAGCCGCTTCAGCTCAATCTTGACACTGTACTCGGCTTTCCCGGAGCTGGAGCCGTACAGCCCCAGCCCTGCCACAAACACCCGCCTGTCCACGGCGAACTGGATGCTGTCACAGCGGCCCCGGTACCGCCACTGGTTGCTGCGGTAAGCTGAGGACTGGAAGCGGTGGCAGCGCTGGGGCATGAGGCCCTTGCGCTTGGTCAGAGGGAACTCGAGGGGCGGCTTCTTGACAGCTGTGTACCACAGGAAGATGTTGTGGGTCTCCTCCAGAGTCAGGATGTCCGACTGGGCCGCTCCATTGGCAAACTCCTCCAGGGTCATGGTGGGAATCCGGACCAGATAGAGCGCACGCCCCAGGACGTGCCTCTTGTTGCGGGGGGTGATGGGCAGGCCCTGCCTTCTGCACTCCGCCTCAGCCCAGTTCAGGACAGCCTCGAAGACCACTGCCTCCTTGGTGTTGAGGGCCTCCCTGGTCACGATGATCTCCAAGGTCTGTCGGTCGATCTCACAGAAGCCCTCTGACCTCAGCGCCATCTCAGCCTGTGCATCTATGACCTCCCAGCAGCGCTGGGTCAGCTCTGGTTCCTCAAACAGCCGGCTCTGGGAGAGCAGGACGCAGGCGTTCTTGGCTTCCAGACTCGTTTCCAGAAAGGTGACACAGGCTTTGGCGAGCGCAGGGACGATGTACTTCTTGGCGGCGTAGAGGGTGGCCAGCACCGTGTCGGCTTCCAGGTCAATCTCATCACTGTACATGTACCTAGGCGAGCAGAGGTGGCGTCAGGGGCCAGCAGTGGCCTGGGGGCCGTGGGGGAGGAGCAGACTTACTTCAACAAGATGAGAAAGGCCGCGGGCTCCACGTCGGGGATGTGAATTTCTGACTTGACTTCGGCCAGGTCCCCGTAAAACATGGCATAGAAGACCGAGCTGCCCACCGCCAGAACATACTGGGGACAAGAGGCGAGAGAAGAGCTGCAGGGCAGGCGCAGGGCAGGGCTGGGGCAATCCAAAGGGCAGAGCGCTACCAACCTTGTGGGCGGGCACCCTCCGGGCTGTCCCCTGGGGTCCCACGATGAAATGGACGTCGGCCATGAGCTCACTGTTAAACATGAGCGCGTTCCTGCAAGGGTGGACACGGGGCTCTGGTGGACACGGGGCTCGGGCGGACACGGGGCTC